GGGCTGTCCAACTCGTTTTCACCGGGGGCCACGGCAGCCTCGAGGTGGCCTGCAGAGGGCTGAATGTAACTCTAGGACTGTATAGATGTGACTTCTCCTTAACCAGGGGCAAGGAGCTTGGTGCTGCCACCAGGCAGAAACAAGGCGCCGGGCCGGATAAAGCGAGGTGGAGGGCGGGACTCAGCCCTCGGGCCTTGTATGTGCCGCCTGTGGCCTGGCAGAAGGAGTAAAACACGCCCCCCACCCCCCACACCGCTCTGCCCTGGGGCAGAGCGCGCTAAAATCACCATGCCCCAGTAAGGGGTCGGAAGAGAATGAGCAGAATGCTGAGTGTCCCCAGGGACAGTAGCCTGCGTGTTCTGTGAGGGTGCCGGACAGGCGTGGGCCCAGCTCTGTCTCTGGCCCCACCTCCGGAGCCTGTGCAGGCTGCCGGTACTCTCGGCATTACGCTTCCAAAGCCGTCGGTCCGCCAGCCAGACGGACACGTCACTGTCAACTCCGGGGAACGTGCGGCAACTTGACTTCCCGAAGAGACCCGCGCGAGGCCCTCACTTGGCCGAGGTTTGGGGCGGTGCCTTCCTCGCCAGACTCAGTTTTTCTAGCTTTGTGTTCAAGGAGAAGAGATTCAGACGGGCAGCTCTTAGTTAGTAATCCACAAATCATTGATTTTTTTTTTATTAGGAGACAACAGATTAAGATTGATTTTATTTCATTTTGCTTTCCAGACTAAAAAAAGCATACCGTTTTATATAACATTTTCACAGAACGTAACATTGTGCAAAAACAAAATTAAGATGATTTCCCGAGTGAGTTCATTTTACCGACTAGGCACGCTGGTGAGCTGACTAAGCTTAAGCAGTCCACGGTGGGAGAGAGGGTCCTGCAAGAGAGGAAAATGGAATATGTTCGTTCACATCAAGAAACTAATATTGAGCTCTGGGGGGAATGGCGGGATGTAGGCAGAGGAATCGGGCAAGAAGCGGCTTAACAGAAATAAGGACAGTTCTATAAAACAGTGCTGGAGAGAAGAGTAGAAATCAAGGACACGTCTGTGATTAGCAGGGCAGAGACGGTTGAAGAGTATGACGGCCATCAGAACGGTGCCCCTAAGGACCCTTAGGGGCCTGGCTGCAGAAGTTTTGCAGGAACTTCTCCCACGGGGACAGGAAAGGCGTTCCAGAGGTCACACACCGGCCCAGCCCCTGCGCTCTCGGCACCGGAAGAGCCCGACTTCCAGAGAGAGTGCTAACATCGATGAGCTACGTGCAGCAGGCCTGTGGCTTCGCACCCTGAGTGGCCATCAGGAGGGAGAAGCCCGTCACAGCAGAGCCGTGGCCACCACGAGGCTCCCTGCTCGCGGCTCTGTCACACATGCTTGGACCGGGGGACCTGTCGACGCCACCAAGTGCGACCCAGAGCAACTCGGTTCAGTGGGACCTGGCCGCTTCCTGCCTCTCCCGCCCCCGGCTCCCTGCGTCCCAGCAACTGCTGACGTGCCCCCAGACCCGTGACGATGCCGCTTCCGGCCCGTCAACGCCACGCCCCACCTGCACCTGATGCTCGCCTTCCTCCCGCTGCAGGATTTCGACCTCGCCTGGAAACCCCATCCGTGTGCCCCCCCTCTGGGAGCCCCATGGCCGCCACCCGCCCTTCCCGAGCCTGCCGGCAGCTCACGGCCAGGGAGCTGGCCTCCGGTCGCCTGTGCAGGGCAGGGGTGTGCTGGGGCCGGTGGGACGCAAGCTCTGTTGTACAGGTGAGTGTTGTAAAAGACACACACCTGACTGAGTCTATCTATTAAGGAGGGTATTTGTTGATCAATGAGAATTTCTTGAATGGTGTGATGACGCAGTCACGGACCTCTGCCTCACACCGGGGGCGTGTCCTCACACCTTGGGGTGGGTGGAGGACACCCCATGCGACGTCAGCCGCCGGGTGGGACCCAGGCGTTTGCCAGACGGGGTGGTGGGCCAGCGTTCTCGCACAGGGAGGGCAAGGGCTCCTGCCGCAGAGACGGCGGGGGGGGTGGGGACCGGAGAGCTGAGGCCCCGCATGGCCGGGAGGGGGAGGGGAACTGCAGGCAGGGACACAGGGGGAAGCGCCTGCTGGGGCCTGGTTTCGCCCAAAATGTTTCATCGGCATTCATCTCCCCCATGCAGCGCGTCCACCGAGTCTAGCACCCAGCCTTCCCCTGGACGGGCCGGCCCTCAGAAGCCATCTGCTCATGACAACAGGTTCCAGGAGGGCGAGCGGACCCAGGTGAGCCTGAGGAAGGGTCACGGTCCCCTTGGGACGCAGCGAGCACCCAGATGCCCTCGCTGGGCCTGACACACTCACGTGCCTCATTCTCGAGCACAGGGGCCCAGCCCACTCCGCGCTGCGCGAGAGACCGCGTCACCCCACTCTGTGCGGGCACGTTTGCTCTGGGGCCGTCGGGGCTGTCCGTCCCAGAGAGTAACGAGCGCTCCCACACGGCATTCAGGGCCCAGGCTCCCTTCGGGAGAGGACGGTAACACGTCTCACTACCTCCACAGGGACAGCCGAGTCTTAACCTATTTAAAGTGCAAGCACTCGATAAATCTACCTCGCAAATTTATTCTGCATGCATTTCTACACACGTGTGCATGGCAGACACGGAAGTCCTGCTGGTTTCTAGCACGGTCTTTAGTGAGCGTGAGGTCTGGGGGGCAAACTCTGTGTCACGTCCGTCGATAGCGGGTGACCTTGCAGTGCATTCACGTGAGTGTAGTTCAGCCAGCACAAAGGCGATTTACAGTGAATGTAGGCAAGGAGCCATAAGGTGAAACATGGGGGGGGGGGGGTCGTGAAATTGTTCTGTAAGTAAAAGTAGGAATGAGGATAAAACTATTAAACGTTAGCCTGTGGTCTGCCGAGGCACAGACACCCCTGGAAAAGCTCACACAGAACCAGCTGGAGCAGCTGCCTCCAGGGGCCGAGGGGACGGGGCCGGGAACTGAGACCAGCTTCTCATGGCGCCCTTTTGGTTGTGTTCTGTACCTAGTGACTGTGCTACCTGTTGGACACAGGACAGAGCTTGGGTCTCCAGCGGTCGGGCGGAAGCAGCACAGACAGGAAGGCGGAGCTGGGGCACTGGGCAGCGAGGGGGCGCAGAGCGGGGCACCCCCCGCAGTGAGGACAGAACGGTGGAGGGCAGGCTGACCCACAGCAAACCGGGCTCTCCCTGCAGGCCCTGGAGGCCGAGCATCATCCTGAAAGCCAGTGAGGCCACAGGGGGACACATCATATTCTGCGCACGAGACCACGGAGGTTCCTGAGGCCGGAATCCCGTTCGGAGCCCGCCGCCGTCAGGTGAGGTCAGGAGGCTGGAACTCAGCTCTTAAAATGTTCCACAACCTCCCTCCGAGGAGGAGCCAGAATCAAGCACGAAGTGGATGTTTTACACATTAAACTGGTGACGGCATGTCCCCTTTCTATCCCTGGAAGCCACAGGTCAGCACAGTAGACACGATTTGCATAGAAATAGCAACTTGTGTACATTCCTCACAGTCGCCCCAGGAAGTGGCGCTTCCCTGTGGGCAGTGAGACTGTCAGCTACAGAACCTGAATACGCGGACGCTCTGCAGGGAGGGGTGGGGGCGAGCCGGGGCAGGGCAGGAGCTGCTGTATTTTCGCGGAAGAAAGAGATCCAGCCGACAGGGGGGCGCGGCTCCAGTGCCCGTAAGCACAGCTGAACCTGGGCTGCCTCGTTTCCATTCCAGAAGCCTCTTCCCCAGCTGGAGGAGCTCATCTGCCATAACCGCTGGGAGCTGGTACGGGGGACCCGCACGGGCCGTTTTCCAGGCGAAGTCAGGTAAGCACGGCCCGGTCCTCATCGCCCATGATGACACGGCAAAGTCGCGGGAGCGGAAGGCGCTTACCTGTGTTTGCTCCGGGCCTCCACCCCTTCCTCCGACGGGACGAGACGGGAGACGTTTCCTAGCAAAAGAAAAGACCTTTTCACTCCAAGAGAAGGGAAGCTCTCCAGAAATTAAAAAAAAAAAAATAAAACATTTAAGCTACCATTTAAAAAAGTTAAACATTTAAGCTACCATTTAAAAAATTAAACATTTAAGCTACCATTTAAAAAATGAAACATTTAAGCTACCATTTAAAAAAAAACTTAAATCAAATGATTAAATGATAACTTTATTAAATATTTGTCTGTTTTAAGAAGTGCCCTCAACGACTAACCAAATAACGTATTACAAACAACTAGTTATGAGGTTTTACATTTGTTTAACAGGGAGTAATTGGCCCCAATTAAACTGGCTAAACTAAGGCTTTTTAGATGACTAAAACCAATTAAACTTTTTAAAATGAGAATTTAGGTGGTCTTAAAGCCTTTCTAGCACGGACAATGACACTCGCTTGCATTTGTCACCTCCCTGGCTTTAGTAGTTGTATTAAGATAAATTAAGTGCGATTACAATCTTACTGGATTTATTTACCTTTGGAAATGAAGACCGTTTAAGGGTTACTCGTCCTCACAGCCTTGGCGAGAGCGACCTCACTTTAGTCAGAATGTCTTTAAAAGCTTTGTGCTCACTGCTTCCAGCAGGGGGCGGGGTGTTCATTAAGGCACCAAAACTCTCATAAAAATTCCAAAGTTGCACTAGTGAAAAAACGCTCGACAAGATGAAAGCTGATCACATCTCTTTCCCAGAAAAAAATCAGTAGTTGTTTTTAGAACCAGTTTTTAAACAAGATTTGGTGTTGTGACACCATTTGGACTCTTTAAACAGCGTTTAGGTCTGCGGTGTGTAGGTGACGGCACGTCTACTTTTATGCCACTTTTAAAGTCAGCTGCTCGGCGTTTAGTGTGACCCTTTTTACAGCTATTTATGAAGGCCTTTTTAGGTAGGAGAAAAAATGAAACTGTTAGCTCACACACACGAGAGAGTTCTTTCAAAAGTTTATTTAGTATCAAGCAAGAGGAAACTTTGCTTAACACTACAGAACATTTCAAGACTTGAGTTACAAAAGAATACCACAGTATCTGCACTTGTAAATTGGCTTCCCTTTTTACGCATGTTGGCAAGAGAAAAAAAAAAAACTGGCATATGACCAAGATAAAAGAACTAAACTCTATGGAAATCTTTAAAATGAAAGGTGAGGCTTATGTTAAAGATGGATTAACATATTTAGTCAACCTATTTTTTTTTGTTTAACACTAGTTAATCAAAGTTATTTTTTTTTCCTTTTCATGACCTAGCTTTTCATATACAGACTGGAAATAACAAAGTTTTACATGTCCTTTTTTTTTTTTCTTTTTCTTTCTGCCCAGGTGGCCGTTTCCACACAAAAAAAGTCGTTCTAAGTTCCATCCGTTCGGGTTTTAAGCATTCTGATTTATTTAAAAAGGGAGGGTTCATAGAAAAAATTACTTTGAACAGTCTACGGGGCGGGTGGAGGCTATGTCACAACACCAGGGAGAACAATCAGTATCGGCCGTACGGCTGGTCCCGGTAGACGCCCTTCGCCGTCCTCGAGGAAGGCGCCTTGTGTCGTGAGTTGGTCCACTCCTCTTGCCCTGCAGTCGGGGAGACGGTCACAGTTAGGTCCCGGCCACGGGCCCCTGGTGCCTTTCCGCAGAGCCCACCTGAGCCCCGGACCGACCGTAGGCATCACACGTTGACAAACTGAGAAAAACCCGAGGGAGTTCCCGTAAAAAAAAAACCTACACACACAGTGGAAAATGCTCCTCTCGTCAGGGAAACCTAGCAGCAGCGTGGGAGGACAAATGACGTCTGTCTCTCCCACGGCCAACCCTCCAGCGGGAGCTTTCCTTTGGCCGTTCGTTTGTTCGGCGCAGGCTCACACCCCCAGCAGCAGCCTGAACTGCCGTTTGCTAGACGCAAAGGCACGGAGGAACAGGACAAGGGCCGCGTGGACTGCTTCTGCCAGCGAAAACGCGGACAGAGGTCTGGGAAGGCAGGGGGCAGCGGAGAGCCAGGCGGTGGGGTCGGACAGGGCAGAGGGCCGCCGCACTGCTCCCCGAGGGGCCATCGCCGGGAGGACCGAGCGCCGTGCGGGGCGGGAACCGAACCCTCAGCAACACTTCACGACTATGTGGTGACAGATGCCGCGTTTCGCTCCTGACACTAAACCCACACTGGACAGCGTTCGAAAAACCCAGGGCCTTCCACCATCCTTGTTTCCTGCGGCTACATGCCGGCTCAGCCTCTGGACCACCCAAGGGTCCCTGGGGCTCCGATACCACCAGCTGACACCCCGGCTGCCACTCACGGCAGCTGCACAACACGTGTCCACGGAGACCAATTTTAAAAGGCTGCGAAGGAAAAGTGCTTCAAATGACCCCTTCTTTGACACAAACATGCAATCAACGCCATTCCCTCGCGCTAACTTGCATCCATTTAGGAGCAGGACATTCAACAAGCCAACGCGTGCCTCTTAAGTGTTTGCTTTGAATGCTGGGAAAAAAAAAAAAAATCCAAGGCGCAATCATCACGGCTTGGGGCCGGCGACACAACGAAACGCACTTCAAAGGGAACACCTGCAAATGGTTTCTCAGCGATGCTCAGAGGAGAGGCGTGACCTCCATTACCCAGCACCCTGACTCCCTCACTCGGGGCCTGGGTGCTCCTCAGCGCCACGTCGCAACGGATGAAAACTCCGTGTTCTCTGACCCCCTCGCCCCGCAGCAAAGGAGCTTCCCCCCGCCCATGTGTGGTTGCCGCCAGTTCTTTTAACTACACCTGTCCGTCCTCCCTCCGCACACGGGAGCTTGGGCCGTGGGTGCCCCTGAACTCGGCGGGGCTGGGCTGTCTCCCCGGGAGCCCACGAGAGCTCCCCGTCTCCGCCCCCGCTCGGGGCTGGTTGACCCCCTTCACGGGGTGACGCCCACTGGGGCGCTGTGGAGAGGGTCTGAGGCTGGGGCTGAGCTCAAGTGTAAAGATGGGGGAGGAGGAGTCGCTCGAGCACCGCGGTCTCCACGGTCTCCTTTCCCTTTGCCGTCCAGGGGCAGACACCTCGAAAAGACCCTGCTCTCCAGGGCCCGGCCCGGCAGGCTCCTCTGAAATGGAGCGACATCAGCACGCGGCCGTCACCCCAAACGGAGCACCGCAGCTCAGAATCTGACTCCCTGCAATCTCCCGCAAGTCCTTGGCCCTCTTCAAACTTGAGAGGAGCTTCTGGAGAGGGCCAGAGAGGCACAGGTAAACCGAGGAGACGCTGCAACACTACGGTCTGCGTGTCCCCGTGGAATCCCCTCCGTGGGGCCCTCCAAGGTGCTTCTGGGAGCACGCCCCCACCCCCCCACCCCCAAGTGGGCCACCGGCCACTCCCTCCCTCACTCACCGTAGGAATCGTACGTCTCGTCACTGAGCCCGTGCCCATAATCATAGTAATCGGCACCGCTGCTGCAAACGAGACAAAACACACACAGGAAGAGGGTGAGAACACAGGGCGAACGGCTCGGCCGCGAGTTTAGGTCCCATTCGACGACGCGTCCTGAAACTCCAAGACAACCCGCGCAGGGCAGGGCCAGGAGCTGACAAGGATTCGCACCGCGTGGCAGAGCTCTGACACCGAGGCCTGAGACTTTGGGACGATCGAGGCACTCCCCCCCCCAACTTTAATACACAGTAAGATGAAACGTGTGTGGTGTGCACGTCAGACACGCACACGCAGGGCGACGGAGCCCACAGTTCTACGAGGCAGGGTCCCTCGGAAGGGCTCAGAGGCGGGTCCTGAACCAGCTCCGGGGACAGGGGACGCCTCCTGAGAGAAGAAGGGTCTAAGTGACAGCTAAGAGACGAGCCAGGCGAAAAGGACGACAACAGCGTGCCGTGTTGAAGTGATTAGAAAGCAGGGACTCCAAGACAGAGCGCGTCCCCGAGTCCCCGCGGCCAGACCGCCACGGGTCAGGAGAGAGGCCCAGCCACTCCGCATACTGCATGACTTTCACTGCGACCTAACTACCAACCACGGCAGTTCTGCAACACTGAAAATCGGTCTGGGCACTTTCTCAAAGGGCCATGTAACTCGGGGGGACAAAAGCAAACGCCCGAGAACCTTCTGGGACGGGTGCTGCAGCGCCCCCTCGGGGGCCTGGGTGGACATTACAGGCACACACGCTCTGAACCACGTGCGTCAGAGGGGGCCGGCTTCACGCGCATTGCGGCCCCTGCGGGGCTACGGGTACTGCCTTACATGGTCGTACGGGTCGCCCATCTCACTGGAGTCGGGTTGGCAGACAGTAGAGAACTGAGAGCTAAGAGCCAGGCTCTGGGGTCAAGCAAAAGTTCTCAGAATCCAGGCTCCCCCATTTATCATGCGTGAGCTCAGGCGAAGTTCACTCGATTTCCTGTAAGGTAGTTTTAAACGCATATCTTCTGTCAGCTTGCAGTGAGGTTTAAATGAGATACTGTGTTACATTACCAGGCTCTTGGTCAAGGACGGCTGTTACCAGCATCATTAAAGCGGAGGTTCTTTCCAGCACCGTCTTCCCGAGCGCTCGCTGGGATGTTGCACAACCCGCCTCTGCTCAGTGTGAGTGAGGACCCCATCGTCGGTGATTCACGTTTGCACAGACACACAACAGGGACAAAGAGCGTCCTTCTGTCTGCACAGCCCTCCGCAATTTCCTAACTCCGTGTGATTTTCAGGGAGGTAAGCGCTATTCTGTCCTTGCACTTTATTAACTAAGTGCCAGGTTTCAGAAGGTGCGCCGCCGGCTTGCTCCGGGGCCCGCCATAAAGCACGGAGCCAGGTCCAATGGGAGACCTGTCTTTGGACTTGAGCTCCAGTCTTCCTACTGCGGCTGTTAATTTCACCAGTAAATCAACTTCCCAGAAACACTAACATTCAGAACTGAGATTCCTTATGAAGGAACACAAGGGAACAGATGCGTTTTTGTAACTTACTTTTCTGGCAAAAGATTCTAAAAAAATGTATCAACTACATCTATCATCACGAGATATCCCAAGTGATCTGAACGAGAATTCTTCGTGCAAAGCATCAAAACTGCATGTTGGAATGCGACAGAACATAGCTGTCGCGGCCACGAGGGTGCGTGTGAACAGCGACGCTTACACGTTACGCTTCGGCCTGGGCCTGTTCCTCCCTTTCTCCCTGTTCGGCTGCAGCTTCGCTTTGTCGCTGCCGCCTCCTTCCTTTTTATCCTTTACTGCAGGGCCCTGGCCAAGCGTTAGAGGGTCTAGCTGCAGGTCTGTACTGTGCCTGGGGTGGCGTCTCTGCTCTCGGCCCTGTCTGCACGCACAGCACAAGTGGGGGGGTGGGGTTGCAGCATGTGCTGGCTGAGAACTGGCTCACTGTGCACGGACAGACGGGCTCCTTCGCAGCGGCTGGGCCGCAAGGAGCTGAGACCCCGAAGGACCCAGCGGGGGGAGGCATGCTTGGCAAACACTTTACAAGGCATGGCTAAACACTCTTCACTCCGGCCAGTCCTCATCACCTGGTAACGCCTGAAAGTGCCAACCCTGATGCACCTTGGCAATGTCTTCCAAATGGTAGTGTTACCGCCGCTTAAACGGTCACAACTTAAGTTAAACAGCAGGTTGTTTCCAAAGGGAAACCCCCCAACTTCTTCCAGACCGCGACAGGGCAGCTCTCGAGGAGACGGTGCTGGGTGTATCCGGGACAGCGGCCAGCAGACGCGCGGGGAAGCAGAGCAGGGGGCTGGGGCAACAGGGGTCTCTGTCCCGCTGCTTTCTGTGGCGTCAGCGTTGAGGACGCACCCAGGTGCCCACCCCCGCAGCTCCGACAGCTTCGGCCACGCTGCCTATCGGGACAAAGGGGCTTGGGTGCTGTTCTGCCACAGACACAAGTTGATGGCTCTGCATTCCGAAAACATTTTCTCAGCTGGATCGTGGTTTGCAGAGTCAGACGGAGGCCGCGGTCTGGCTCGCCGTAGCTGTGCCTTCGGGAGAAAGCGGCTGAACAGCCCGGTCCTCAACCGCCGTGCTTGAGGGACTGGGCGTGCGCGCCCGCCGTGAAAACACGAGAGCGCGCACACTCAAAGGACACAGACAGCTGAGCGCCCGGCTTAACGGGTCCTCCAGAATTGGCAGCTATTATTTCTCACTTCTCTCCCGCAGTCACTCTTAAGTGTTTCCTCGAAAATCACAGTGGTTTCGGAGGACAGAATGAAAGACGTTCCTGAAGGGCCGTCAAACCACACGGGGCCGTGGGCAGTCAGCGAGTCAGGGTTAAAGCCGTCCGTCCAGACACTGGTGTTTGCGCCACACACTCCCTCGGCCACCTCCGTGCGCCCGGAGGGTTATCAGCACTGGTTCGAATCCCTCTTGTTCCCCTTTCTTTATGTCCCTGAAGGAACCGGATGTTTCTTTGGAGAGTTTACAGCTCTTCAGAAACACAGACCGAACTACTGTGATTTTTGTAAACAAAAACTGCGTGCAAGGTGTGCGCACAGTGACCTGAAACGTGGATGGAGTGGAGTGATTGCTGTGGCCACGCTCACTAGCGTGCCTTCTCACAGCCACCTCTTCTGTGCAACAAACAGGGGCCCCTGACACCCACCCTCTGCAGCCAATTTCCAGCATTCGATACAGTATCATATAAGCTGCGGTCACCATGCTGCAAACTGTCATTATTAGGATTATGAGCAAGGCAGCAGGTGAAAATGAATCCCTTAGTTTAGAATGAAATGAATCCGTTTCCCAAGGGTTTCCTGGAGCAAAAAACCATAGCGTCTGTGAAGGCTCCGGTCCCGTACAGGGAGGGGCAGGTCCCTGAGGTCGGGGGTCGTTTATCACCTGCTCTTTCTTATTCAGGAGAGCTGGTCGGGGGCTGCGCGTCCACAGGAAGCCATCGGTAACTATTTTGAGCCCATGCACGTTGGAACTATTCCAGTCTGCAAAGAATCAGCCATATTTCTCTGCAGGGTGCCCGTGGACAGCTTGTTACTCATTAAATGTGTGAAGTCAGATAAACAACGCGTTGTTCTACACAACAATATCATCAGCGCTGTCGGGATCGTACAGAAGCCAACAAGGAGATGCAGCTGAGCTCTGCGGAACTCTCTGGCACTCTGCAGGGACTCCCATTTGTGCTCTCATTTTAATGCAAGATATTTGAAAGCGGGGGTGGGGGCCGTTCCTAATCCGTAAAGCCTCCTGAGAGAAACTGTTGTGTTTGCAGCAGAACTCCCCTGAAGCCACGGCCCTCACGAAGCTCAGCAGTCAGCCCTGCAAGGAGCCCCGCCCACAGTGGGTGCCCCACCCAGGGCCAGCCCGCCACCTGCTGTCCTGTTGCACCTGCCTCCACTGGACCACCGCAGCTCAGCTTCCAACCCCAGAATAACAGTACGGACGCCGACCACCCGCGTGGGGAGAACCCCTCACTGGGTACCGCTGCCCAGCCCCACTGTGGATCCTTTGCCCGCACAGTCCTTCAGGTGGACTGGTACCTGCTTCTGCTGACCACGCCCCGGAGAGAGGGCTGCTCAGTCCATCTGCAGCTGCAGAGGGAGGGCAGGAACCGGGGGTCCGGGCACGGACCCCTCCCGTAAGTCGCCTCACTGAGTTCTCTCGCTGAGCAGGCCTCACGGACGGCCCATCTCCCTCCACCCACTGCTCAGGGACTGGGGGCTCCTCTGACGCCTCCAGCCTCCAGGGTGCCTCTGCGGCGCCCACCCAGGCGAGGCTGACGGGGGAGAGAACCTGCCGGAAGTCACAGGCTCAGCGATAGTTAAAGTCAGGATGGGAGCCCAGGTCTGTCGGATGCGTGACCACTACAGCACGTCTAATGACCCCTGTGCCCCCAGGAAAGCCGTCCCTGAGCCAGCAGCTGTGACGGCGTGTGGGTAACGCGTATCCCGGGGCGTCGGCGTGCCCCACGTCACACACAGAACATCCGAAGGGACACTTCAAAGCACGAGGAGGAGGGGGCACTCCCCAGGTCGCTTTCTGCAGCTGGGGAGCTGACCGGCTGGCCCCCGAGGGCCCCAACCACAGACTCTGCCCCGTGTGGGGTGCCGGCGACACAGCCCGGAGCTTTACCTCTGGGCTCCCGAGAGAAACCTGCAATGTACAGTTTTCCAGTGACCACGTGGAGGGAAAAAAGGAAAAAGGAACATGGAATTCATCGGAGTAAGATACGGATTTGACGTTCTTTGGGATGGGGTGCGTGGTTCGCACTTGCAGCGCACCCCGGCTTGGACCGGCCACCAAGGCCACACGCTGGTGGCCGCTGTGGTGGACAGGGCAGCCGGAGCTTCTGCTCAGACCAAAGGACACTTGCACCACAGCTCCGTCATCTACAAGGAGACCACGGGAAGAATCCTGCAGCCAGAGTGGCCCAGAGAACGAGAACGGGGAACGTACTTCCAACTATTGACTCGAGAGGACTGCTCACACGTGACATGCACGTGACAGACCCGAGTGTGAGAACACCGGTGCTATGTGCTGCTACGTGTCTGTCACCGACCACGTGACGACCACGTCTGCCAGCGCGTTGAGAGGGTGGCGGGGAATGGGATTTGCCGGAAGGATCTCCTGTAAAACTAGAAAAACCCAGCTCTTCATGCCACGCGTCCGGCAGCATCAACACGCAGGATCGGCGGCGTCCTGAGGGCGGACTGAGGAGCTTGGAGTCTGATGGGGCGACACTCTGGCTCAGACTGTCCGAGCCACGCAGTCCGCAGTGTAAACGCGTCGTAAAGCCAGCACTGTGTTTTGTGTCTGTCTACCCTTTCTCCACTGGGAATATTAACTACGAGGCGAGAGGTTTCTAGGCATTTAGGGAAACATTCCGAATGGAACAGACACTGATTCCAGACGTCACCGAGCACCAGCATGTACCATCGGAGGAGGTGACTGTACAGCTGTTTTGACTCCGATGACGTTCATTTCTGAGTAAAAACTGCCATAGAGAACGAATGCAAACCAACTCGATAGTAATGGGGATCTGAAGTCGTTGGAAGACAGACGCATGTCTGCTACGACACGGAAACGTCCTCGCTCCGACACCAAACGTTCGGCGCTTCCGTCCCCCGGCACGGACCACGCGGGGTGCGCACGCACCGCCGAGGCGAGCTGGGGCCTCAGGATGTGCATGACCGGACTCCGCAGACACGCTCCTCCTCAGGGCACACGGGCCGCCACGCCCTGAGAGTGACCGGACCGTCGACCTGTGTTTCCCAGGCCTCGCCACTTGAGCCCTACGGGGACTGCGGGGGAGGAACCCACGCTGGCTGGGGAGGGCGGGAAGCGTTTCTCCCACTAGAGCAAACGCAAAGTGAGGCAGGCCCATCAGAATGGCGCCCCCCAGGCTGGTCAGCAGCATCCCATCTCCCAAGGGCGCAGGCGTGGAAGGAAGGGCACACGGGTGGTTCTAGGGTCCCGTCACGCAGACGGGCTCTTACCTCTGGGCCGGGGTGCTGTAGCTGTTGTCGTAGGAGTCGTAGCTCTGGTCGTCGTAGGTGGTGCCGTACCCGTCATCGTAGTCCTGCAGCGGAACAGGACAAGCACAGACACGTTCAGAGAAGCGTCTGGAAAGAAGGAGGCATCCTGCTCTCGGTGAGGAGAGCAGAACTGATTCAGCTGGCACTGGACTGTGCATCTGAGTACAGTGAAAAAAAAAAACCGCAACAGTGACATCAATGAAAGATGATTGGGTAAGAATCTCCAAAAGCAAAGAGAAAGTGGCAAAAACAGAACCAAGATTTTCACAAGTCTGGAAAGTAACCACAGGTTTGCAGAGACCTAGGGAGCATTATTATTATTATTATTTTTTAAATAGCCCGATCTTGGTCTTGGGATGTTTTCCCTCGGCCTGGTCCCACCCCTCACTGCAGGCTCTGCGGGCACCTTGAACTCCAGCGGCCACAGTCACTATGGGAACCAGTGTTCTGAGGCCACTGCAGGGGGCAGAGCTACATCAAAACTATATCAAACAGGGATGCCTCTATTTGATATGACTGGGAGCTCATCCCACGAAAACTCCCTTTTCTCTGGGCATATTTGAAGATAATGATCAGAGGCAATTATGTAAAATTTCTGCTGCCCGAGGTGGAGAGAAACTAGAGCAAACAACGGGCTAACAAGAAAAAAGCAGGGGAATGAGATGTCAATCTGGGCTCTGGCACAGTCCCAGGAGCCCAAAGGACGGTGTGCGAGCACGGTGACGGGTGCTTGCCGGGGAGACCGACTAGACCCCGAGCTCTCCCCCCAAGCCGCCCTTGAGGCCCCGAACGAGAGAGACAAGGCTAAGGCAGAGTCAGTTATAAGCTGACTGGCTGAGCAGTGAAGACATGCTCCCACCGGCACCCATGTGCTCTTGGCAAAGACCAGGGACTTAGTTTCCAAGCATTCGGCAGAATCTCTGTCCGGTCATTAGCTGACCACTAAGGCAACACGGGGGAGACACTTCTGTGACAACCCATGACACATACAGACGTTATAATACTTGTTTGAAATGGTCACTAGACCAAAATAAAAGCAACAAAGAAATCCTGTTGGAGTAGGAGAATCTGGTTTCCAGCTGACATATTATACTAAATGTCCAGTTTTAAACAAGACGGGACGCGCAAAGAGAAATGAAAGTATAATCCATTCACAAGGAAATACACAAACAGTAACAATGGTCCCTGAGGAAGCTGAGTCATTAGACTAACGAGGCAAGACTTTAAATCAGTTGTTTGAAATACCGGGTCCGGCAGAAGTAACGCCTGCCTGAGTGCAGTTGGTAGGGTGATAATATGGGTGTAATAATTTACAGTTTTTAATTTGAACACGTCACCTAAAACACCAGATGGTGTGCTCGAGTGTGATACTATGTCACAGAATTACATGCTTGTGATTGTGTAATAGAAGATTCTGTAATAAACACTGGGGCCTTATTTGTGCTGGACCCTGTGTATTCGAGGAACTAAAGGAAAACCCGTGTCTAAAGAGCTAAAAACAAGTGTGAGAACCATGCCTCACCAAACAGAAAATACTGATATAAAGAGAGCGTATAATTTTTGAAAATTCAAAGACATTCTTGGATTGAAAAGTGTAACAGCAGACACTGAAGATTCACCATAGAAGTTCGACAGCAGACGTGACTAGACGGAGGAATGGACTAGTGAACCTGAAGACAGGTCCACGGGGCTCATCCAGCCTGAGGGAGAGGGGAAGATGGAAGAGAATACACAGTGTCTCGGGGGCCTGTAGGCCACTGTCAAACAGGGACACATGTGCAAGGAGCTACCCAGAAGGTGGAGAGAGAAAGGAGTAGAAAGATTATCTGAAGAAATAACGGCTTAAGACATCCCAGATTTGATTTTTAAAAAAATCTTTATTCTACACGTCCAAGAAACTCGTCCAATCCAAGTAAGATAAACTCACAAAGGCCTTCACCTGGACACATTATCTTCAAAATACTGAAAAGAAAGAAAAGCTGGCGAGAGAGAAGCCACTTTTCACATGCGACAGATCCACAAGAAGGTCCGAAGCTGACTTCTCAAGAGAAGCTCTGGGGCCGGAAGACAATGAGATTGTAACTGCCAAGCACAAAAATACAAAGACTGTCAACGAAGAATTCTATATCCAGCAAAACTATCCTTCAAAAAAAAAATGGAAAAGCTAAGGTATTTCCAGCTAAACAAACACAGAGAGAACACAGACACAGAAGATACGCTGAACAAGAACTACGAAGACGAGGTCTTCAGGTGAGTGACAGGTGGACAGCAACTTGAATCCACGCTGAAAACAACATCGGTACAGGGAGCTCCTTAGGAAATATCAAAGATAGGAGAAATGTTATTTCTGTTGTAATTTTTCCTTCTGTTTTATTTAAAAGACAACTGCAGAAAGAAATAATTATAAATCCGTATGGATAAGCACCAGTGCATAAGGCTAACATTTGTTTTGAAGGTAACACCACAAAGGTGGGGGTGACAATGGGCCCACACACAAAGAAGCAAAACTCTCGTGTACTGTTGAAATTAAGTTGGGACAAATCTGAAAAAGGCTAATATAAGCTAACGTGTAAATTGCCATCAGCAGGATGGACTAAGGAAGTAAAGTATATTTTAAAAACTAAAAAAATGACAACAGAATGAAAGTGATGTACTAAAAATATCTATTTAACAGAAAAGGAGGTAGCAAGGAAGAAAAAAGACAGAAGACATATAGAAAACACAGCAAAATGACAGCTGTGAATCCTACCTTATCAGTAATCACACTAAATATAAGTGGATTAAAAACACCATTTTAAAGGCAGAAGCTGGCGTCTTGTTCATGAAACACAGTCCTAGCACACGCCGGCGACAACAGACGCACTCCAGACTCAAAGGCGGAACCGCACGGAGAGAAAGCAGGGGGAGGGAAACCCGCCAGGGGAACGCCGCCCAGGACAGAGGTGCTGCGACTCCCCGAGGACCAGACAGAGCCAACCGGCCTGGAGATAGAACTTGGTACCAGAGGCAGGAGCGCAGCTATTCACAGGGATACAAGAGTTGGCCTGTCAAGAAGACCTGATACTTGCGGAGATGGATGCATGCATATTCGACACAAACACGTATACCACCCACTCAGCCTGCGCGGGACAGACGCTGAGAGAACGGAAGGGGAAAGGCAGTTCCACAACAGTCGTTGAGGATTTCACTGCCACACCTTCAGTGACAAAGAAATAAAAAGAAATCGGAAAAGAAACAGAAGGTCTGAACAATAATACTGTCTGAAATTACCACTAAGAGACATGCACAGAACATGCTACCCGGTCAGAGGAAGAATACAGAATCTTTTCAATTTCACGTGGGGCATCCTCAACGACACGTGGAAAATTCCCCAGCACAGACCATATGTATCTTCCCAACTCAAAATTTACTACATTGCTAAGTGATCAAAACAGATCCACAAAACAGAACTGAGAGAATAGAAATAAGCCCTTATGTTTGTGTAAGTATCTGGAAGGAATGAAAAATTATACATATTCATACAAATATAATCCAGCAAAATGCCTAACATGTAGTAAGGCAATCCGATGGTAAGTGGAATAACCATTTTAGTAGCTGGTGTATAATAAATGGATATGCACATAAGAGAATGAACTTGGACTGTTGCGTCACATCATGCAAAAATAATACAAAGTGCATCATGTGCACACACATACCACTAAAATCATTAAACGCTAAGAAGAAAACACAGGTGCAAATCTTTGTGATGTTGGATTAGCCATTTGTTTCTTAGATATGCCAGAAAAAGCACAAACCACCTAAGGAAATACAGATTAAATGAACTTCATGTAAATTTAAAACTTATGCATCACAGGACACCCGCAAGAAAGCTAAACGATAGGAGAAAATACTTGTAAGTCCCGTATCTGATCATGGTCTGGTGCTCACAATAAAGAACTCTTACGACTCGACAGTTTAAAGACACCCACAACGGCAAAGACATTCTTCCAGTTCTACTAGGAACAGACGTCAAACTGAGAATGCTCTACAGGTGTGATAACAAGCACACTCTGGTTACTTTAAAAGTATTATAGAAGTCAGAGTCCAGAGACATAAGCGCTCTGTAAGATCAAACTGGACTGTCACTCAACAGCATTTACATCTGTGCCAGGTGGAACCTGACCTACACCTGACTTCCACGTTCCTGGGGACAGTAACCTACTTCGTGACTTTGGACTTATTAATACCTAACTGATATTTAACTGAGCCTAGAACTAACATTGAAACCCCTCAGAACATAGGCATTACCAATGCTAATGAATTTAATGATTACCACTGGACCTCCTGAAATAGAGAAACGTGGCCACGTGGGGAAAGAGGAAGGATGTGGAGGTAAATGGGTTCTGTGATTTACTATCGATGATTTCGGGCGGGCTCAGTCACTTACTGGAATCTGGTCCTTGACCTGTAAAATGTGAATCATGGTCTGTACCTTGATGGGATGAGAAATCACCATATTTTGCTGTATAAAATGTGTACTTTTTTGCCCACATTTTTGAGGGAAAAATGAGGATGCACATTATACATGGGTAGTACGGTGGTTACTAATGTGGCTGTGACCTACCAATGACCAATGCAAGGTCACGAAAAGCTGGCCGACAAGTCACAAATAATACACAGCCAAAAAACCCTGAAATGATTTCAGTTATAAAATAAGTAGCACAGTGCAGATGTCACTAATGATTCTGGCAAATTAATAAACTGAAAGAAGCTGCTGTTCCTAATGAAAGGAGTAATCACTAAATTAAAAAAAAAACATGCTTCACCGAGCACCTGCTCTGTGCATGGTCCCCTGTCAGACTTGGGGGACGGGAAGAAAGTGTCACAGCCCAGGGAGGACGCTGAGGTGGCAAAGTGGGAGCGACCACAAGCTACTGCAGAAGCAGAGTGAACACACCCGATGCCGTGGCAAAGGGGAGTATCTGGGGGAAACAGGAGTGACCGATGGGGATGGGAAAGGAGAAGGGAATTTCCCAGCAGCCTCGATGACAGACCTCAGGTTCAT